TTTAAGCAAAAGCTAAAGTAGCTATTTCAGGCGGCCCCAGAAAGTACTGTGGGGCAGTCCACACTGGCTGATGAGCAGGGTTAGTGAGCTGATCAAGGAGTCCAACTGTAACAGGATGGAGTTCCAACCTGCCACCTTCCAAATGGGTGGCCTTAGGCTAGTGACTTAATCATTCTGAATCTCAGTTTCTTCATCTGTCAAATGGTAATTATAATGTGTGAGTTTTTCTCTGTGTTTGTTGAGGTAATTAATTTTTTTGAGGTAATTAAATTTTAAAATGGCTGCAAAGCACTCACACAATACAAAGGCAAATGGCAACTATTCAATGTATTACATTACTGCTCCTACAACTATGGTGGAGTTGCGCTGAAAAGAAGAGAGATGATCCTAGCCCTATGAGTTCATCACAGGCCACGTGTGTGGAGGATTCATAACAGTGATTTGTAGGAACTGTCATGTCCTCAGATGCAGTCAATGGAAAACCTTCCTTACTGAGGGAAGTGGCGTCAAGCTAGTGGCCAGGCTAGGCTGAGAAAGGGGCATCAGGGAGGCCATGCTACCCTTGTACTTGCAGAAAATTGGTGGCCACTAATGGGGAAGTTCTTTGATCACTAAAGAAATAGTGCATCCTCAGGATCAGTCCTCCTTTTGGAAGCATTTGCATAAAAGGAGCAGTCCTTTCTTTGAAAATGCAGGGCAAACATGGAGAGCATTAAGGAGCTGAGTGAATAGGTCAGAGCCATGAGCTAAAATGTTGGGGGATCTTAGATAATTAGGATTCATTTACGTCACCAAAAATACTACTGAGCACCCACTATGTGTCAGGAACTATTCTAGGCAGTAGGAAAGCACACTCAACAAGATGGACAGGGTGCTTGCATTTAAAAAAAAGAAATATTGCATTTAAAAAAAGCTTATACACACACACACACACACACACACACACACACACACGAGATTTTCATTTAGTAGTAAGTCCTTTAAAATAATAAAATGTCTTGAGAACTTTGGTAGAGAGTGAATGGATAGTCAGGCAGGGCCTCACTGTGCAAATGGCATTTGAGCTAAAACCTGAATGATTGAAGGCAGAACTCTCCTTGGGAACATCTGCAGTAAGACTGGGCCAAACAGAGGGAACATCAAGTGCAAAGTTCCAGGGTCAGAGGTGAGAGACAAAGCAAGGATGCCCGGAGCAAACATCTTTTGAAAAGTGGTTTTAAATGACCTGGAAGAAGCAGGGAGAAGCAAAATGGATTACAAAGGACCTTTTAGGCCATGCACACACAGATGTCACTGAAAGAAAGAGCTGCTAAACTAAAAAGCTAGCAAAAGCCAAAATATTCAATAGGGTAAAATATCATTAGTTTCCAAACAAACTAGTGAAGTTAATTATCAAAGAGGAGGCATGTCATCACTTTCAACATGTTTTGGCATGCAGTATAATGTTGGGCTGAGAGGTTACATGAGCTCCATGTTCTTAGGTACTGCCTTATCCATTTCTTATCAAAAAAGGGGCAGTGGACTGTCTTCAAACTGGATTCTAACATAAACCAGTAGATGTCATGGAATGACACTGGACCCAGAGCCAGAAGGTAGGGATAAAGTTCAAGTTGCATGACTAGACTATATCTACTTGAAAGACCTTGGGCACTTTGCTTGGCCTCATTGATAGTTTCCTTATCTTTAAGTTTAAAGTAATTACTACCTCAAAGAGCAATTAAACAAGATAATGTATCTTAAAGGTCATTAGAAATTGTAAAGCATCACCTCAATATTTCTTTTTTTAAAATATATTTTATTGATTTTTTACAGAGAGGAAGGGAGAGGGATAGAGAGTTAGAAACATCGATGAGAGAGAAACATCCATCAGCTGCCTCCTGCACACTCCCTACTGGGGATGTGCCCAAAACCAAGGTACATGCCCTTGACCGGAATCGAACCTGGGACCCCTCAGTCCGCAGGCCAATGCTCTATCCACGGAGCCAAACCGGTTAGGGCTCAATATTTCTTATTGGTTTTAAAATTCTTTTTAACATATTCTGTTAAAATTTCTTGTCATTGTTGTTTTTAAGTAAAACCACTAGAGGTCAGAATTTCACATAAATTGTTTAAAGAAACTACCAAGGTAGGAAAAAAACACACAAAACAACCCACCAAAAACGTTTACCTACTAAGCAGAATAAAATAACAAATTGAAGGCAAAGAAATAAAAATAAAGGTAGCTTTACACAAAGAAGTTTTGATAACCGGAATAATTCTTATCTCAAAATTGTTAGCCAACAGACTTACATAGGGAGAGGAAGGAAAGATAAATAGAATTTAAGTACCTACTTACGATGTCTACACAGCTTTAAGTTTATATTGATTATCTTACATTATTTTAAAAATAGGTCTATGATTAAGGTCCATTTTACAAATAAGAAGACTGAAGCATAAATAGATGTAATAATATCCTGAAGACCAAACAGATTGAATCTAGTCACGCTTGGGAAATAATGCAGTGAAATACGGTGTCTCTATATTGGGCAACATATTATATGAGGGGTTAACCTAACTGGTTTTGCATCTGCAATGCTAAATAATTTTTTAGTTCTCAGGCTCTACAAACGAATGTAGGGAAAACTCCTTGTTTTGTCTGTTTGAGTATAGAAGTTTCTGAGCTCACTGCTGGTAAATATGAATTACGATGACTAGCCATGGGGAAGAGTATAGAACAGCTTGATCTTAGAAATAATGTATTGAGCAGAAAGAACAGCCCTTTAAAATGTTTACTTGGCCATCAAACTTTGTCTTTTTGTATTTTCCCCCCCTTCACTTTGTAGAGCTAAGTATACAAATCTGCCTTGTTCAGGAGTGGGGAGGGACTATCACCATGTTGATGAAAGGACCAGGTAGGGTAGATGGCAATTTATATCTTGAGAGAAGACAATGTCTTACTTGTTATTGTGCACACAACATTTAGACGGTGCCCAGAGCAGAGGCAGGATAGTAGTGACTATGCTCATGTTGCACCATGTGCACACATTGGCAATTCACACACACACACACACACACACACACACACACACACACACACAAGAGCTAGCTGGGCCCTGATGCCAAGAGTTTGCTATCTAATCCCAGCTGGAAATGTAGATTTAAGTTCTAGGACAAGTTCAAGTTCTTCCTTAGTTGGAAACCTTTAGCATCTCACATGATGCTTGGCACGTAGTAGGTAGTCAGTACATTCCAGAATCATGGGATGTCTTTAATAAGAAAGGAACTTAGAGTCCATTGGATGAAAAGCCACCAGGCTCTGGGGGAATAAGAAGCAATCAAATTGGGTTCTTAACAGACTTGGTTCTGGAACACAGGGTTTGTAAGAAATCCCCAAACCTTTCTTCCCCAGGAGCACTCACTTCTTCACTCTGTCACATTTCTGGCTTGTAATCATCTCATGATTTCCACACAGGCTCAGGAAGAGTGTTACAGAGGTTTCCATTGTTTGAAATCTTAATAGAGTTTCTAATGTGAATGGAGATGTTTTCTATTAAGCAAAGAAATGAGGGTATACACTCTTATGGTAGACACCCTACTGGCATCTATCAAATATTAGTTACCCTCTGATCTCCCTCCTAAATCATATATCTATCTCTTCATCACTCATGACATTAATATATAGTATTTAATGCATATTAAGCATATTCTTGTGCTGAAAAGAATGCTTGGCACTTAGTGTATATTCAATATATGTTCACTGAATTGGAATGAATAGAATTGTTGAACATTATATTTTGGACATTATTTTAACAACACTTTGTACATTCTTCTTCAGTTTGAAAACTGCAGTTCTCCACAAGAAAAACATTTTAACAGTTCTGCTACTAAGTGGATTCTCCTATTTGCAGGAACAGGGGAAGTGTTAATTTTCAGCATTCTCCATGATACCCTAGGAGTAATACAAAGTTTCCTATATTCTATGGAAAGTTCAGTAATGGTTTTAAGTAAACACTTTACTTCTCATCAAAACTTTCTTTTCTAAACATTTGCCCTCAGATTATTCATTAATTCACCCAAGAAATTATTAGGAAGCCCCAAGGTCTCATTGTTCCCCCTGCATTCATTTTGTGGTAGCAAAGGTTAAAACTTGGATTGCAGTCTTATGAGGAAATTAATTCACTGATTAAGAAAAATGCACTTTAAGCAATACACATTTAAATAACTGACAAGCATAGGGCGATGCATTTCTAGGATTTTTTTTTAAAGACCCCTTTTCTACTTAAAATTTTAAGCAGCTGTAATTCTTCTGCCCTATAGCCTGGAGAAACAGCACATGAATTACTAATGAGAGAGCACCAATTTGTACTGCAGTGACCACTTTCAGAACCAAAGGGTCAGAGCTGAAACCAGGAAAACAGCAGCACTTTTCATCAACCAGTTGCTTGAAGCACAGTTAGACCTTGGCTCCACTTGAAAAAAATCTTGCAATGTTCTATCATCCCTCAGCTGAAGGCACTTGGCCCCCAAGACTTTGCTTTCAAATAAAGAAATGTTCATTTGCATACTACCTCCAATCCTCGACAAAACTTTTCCTCTGCATTGGAACCCAGCAGCCCATTCATTTATGAAATATTCAAAAGGTTTACTATTTAGTTCACTGAGCTTTTGCCTAGTGGCTTTAGCAGCACAGCATGAGAAAGGAGTTGGGCTTTAAAAGAAAGGATTCCTGAAGACTAGTATCTTGCTAGTGTGTCTTCCTCTAGAGCTACACGGAAATGTCCCCCTGCCCTGAATCAGTTCCATCACTTCCCTCCCCTGCGGGGCCATCCCCTCCTAATATTCTCTTACCTAACATCAAGGGAGATTTAAAAATAATAGGTCATTGATTTTCCAAAATAGATGAAAAATGGAAGGAACTAGCGAGGGGAGAAGAGAGAGTCATTGAGAGCTAGAATGGGGCTGAGAGCTGAAGGAAGACAGCCTCCTTATTAGAGATGGAAAGTTTACTTTTCCTGCCTTACCTTTGGGTCCTGGTGAAATGGTGTGTGTGGCACAGACTTCAGTGGTAGGATGACTTTCCATGTCCAGACCCAGACTCGGAATGTGCAAAAGAAACAGCACAAGCAGGATGAACTTGTGCCTTCGAGGTGAGACTCCAAAGCCACCCATGGCTGTGGCTCTTCCAAAAAGGGTCGCCCAGAGGTGCCAAGTAAACAGCTTTATTTGAAATAAAATCTTCTCTTTGGGGAAGAAAGTGAAGTCTCTGGAGCACACATTCCAAAACGGCCTGCAAAGAGAAGAAGACACATCCTTGGTTGTTTATCTTGTCAGTATTCCAAACGGACCCTACATTGTCCAGATTGTTTATTTTCAAGTGACAACAGTTTATTGAAAATTATCTCTAAACTAAATAATCAAGGGTGCAGGTCAGTAGAAACATTCCAAGGAACAGAGACGATAGAGACGCCTTCTGCTCAGTACATGAGCTGACAATTTAATACCTTATCTGCGGTTAAATGTTGGGGTTCCAGACAGATTGAGCCAGAGTTTTCTTGAATTACCTCCCCGTTACATAGCAGCATGTATGGCTTTGAGTTTTATCTAAGGAAATATTTATAAACAGCAAAACTCCCACCGCTCTTCATGACTTTATTTCCTTCTCTTGCTACAAATAATTTTCTTGGGATTGAACCCCAAAGGAAAGAATACCAGCTTTACTGCAAGCAGTTTTGGCAATAAGTATCAAGAATATTAAAAATGTTTATAGCCTTCGGCCTAGTAATTGCCCTTCTGTCTTAAGAAAATATTCTGAAATTTGGACAGAGCTGTATTTGAAAAGATGTCACAAAAAGGGGAAAGGAGCATCAGTTACCTAAAAATACGTAAAGGTTGGAAAATCTTAGTAAATACAAACATGAGAGAGTATGACATAATAATTTTATTAAAATGATGTTTGTAACAAGTGTTTGATAAATGGAGAAAAAGCTAATGGTATTATATTTATTAAAAAGCGTGATAGATATAGATAAGAAAGTTACAGTGATAGAGGTATCTATCTATCATCTATCTATTCATCCACACACTTATATGTTCCATCTACCCATAACTTGTATAAATAGCTTAGTCAAGGTAAAATAATGAAAACCTAGAACCAGAATCGCATATAGTAGGCAGATGCCTTATCTTCTCAATTCTTGAAGAGGCATATTAACTAGAGTTGGATCAGTGGGAGTTTGGGTCTACTTTTCAAGTAGGACCTTACAGATCATGGGAAAGTCTAATAAAGAATTATCCTTAAGAGAGGCAATGTTCAGTCTAAGAAATATAGGTGCATTTGTTTCCTAGGGCTTCTGTGACGCAGAACCACAAACTGAGTGGCTTAAACAACAAAAATTTATCATCTCACAGTTCTGGAGGCCAGAAGTCTGAGATCATCTGTTGAGTGGTGGCCCTATAAAAGATGTTTATACTGTAATCACTGGGCCCTGTGAACATGATTGTCTTTGCAATTGAAATTAAGCTAAGGATCTCAAGAAGAAATAATCCTGGATTATCTAGGTTGGCCCTAAATCTAATGACAAGTGTCCTTACAAGTGACACCCAAAGAAGAAACACAGGGACAACAGGAGAAGGCCCTGAAAGACAGATGCAGAGATTGAAGTTATGCAGCCACAAGCTACGGGACACCTGAAGCCACCAGAAACTAGAAGAGGCAAGGCTGCATCTTTCTTGAGGCTTCAGAAGGAGCTTAGTCCTGCTGACACCTTCATTTGGTACTTCTGGCCTTCATGACTGTGAGATGATAAATGTCTGTTGTTTTAAGCCATCCAATTTGTGGTAATGTGTTATGGCAGCTCTGGGAAGCTAATACACCATTCTTCTGACACTCATGCACAGTTACTGGAAGAATGACACATCAAAAAACTTAGTGCCTGACAGAGACCGAGCAACATCTGTTCTTGTGCATTTTAATTATCATGCATCCAGCTTAGGAGATATCTGGAGGGAAATAAATATAGGATATGAAACAAGCATATCTTAAGGCAAATCTGTTTTCTACTTAAAACAGGATAGCAACAACATGACAACCTCACCTCCTGAAGGAATTTCTTGATAAATTGAAATAACTCAACTTTGGACCTGGTTTGGTCTTGGTCCATTCACGTACGTATCTTATTGGATTAAAGTTCTCTCTTGTGGATTAATTTAATTAAGTGCCATTTGTAAAAACTGGAAATTAGTAGAATGGCTTTTAAAATGACACGTATTTAGAAAGCAACATGATAAACACACTCATAATATTATTTTATTTTTTTGTTTTAAGTTTTATACTTATAAAAGCATATTTTAAAAATTTAAAATGTTTTTTTTTTAACCCTCACTGAGGATACATAGCTGTGAGAGAGAAACATCAATCAGTTGCCTCCAGTACATGCCCCAACCAGGGATCGAACCTGTAACCTTTTGGTGCATGGGACAATGCTCCAACCAACCAAGCCACCTGGCCAGGACAACAATCAAATGGTTTTAATTGGCATATGAGCCTCTTGCTGTTCCCACCCCACTTTTGATTTTTATTCCCTCAAGAAAATTATTTCAATAATTTTAGTGCTTCCTATTTTATCTCTCTCTTTTTTTTAAAAAAAAATATTTTATTGATTTTTTACAGAGAGGAAGGGAGAGGGATAGAGAGTTAGAAACATGGATGAGAGAGAAACATCGATCAGCTGCCTCCTGCACACCCCCTACTGGGGATGTGCCCACAACCAAGGTACATGCCCTTGACCGGAATCAAACCTGGTACCCCTCAGTCCGCAGGCTGACGCTCTATCCACTGAGCCAAACCGGTTAGGGCTATTTTATCTCTTTAATATTTTTAAATAAAAAATTTGTACTGATGTTCTTGATTTTAATTTTTTTCAATTTAGATACTCACTGTCTTCTTTATATGGAAGATGGTTATTTTTTCATCCCTAGCTCTGCATCCCTCTCCTCATTCATTTTTTTCTCTTTGTAATTTAATAACATTATCATTTTAATGTAAAAGTTAATGTTTATATTATAATGATGCTATAAAAATAATTCATAGCTGAATAGCATGGGCATTATAATTACATTTTGTTTCTTGTACTAATTTCATTTTCACAAGGTTTAATAATTATATTGTTTTTATTTGCATAGTTTTCTATGTACAAATCCCACAATGACTACTTTGAGATTTTTCAGTTCTGTGGAAAAAGTAAAATGTTCAGTTGGCTTCCATTTCTTTTCTTAGAAATACTTTTCTGAAATTTTCATGCTTCTTGCTCGAGTTGGATCTGGTATTTGTCAGGCTTGTGCAAAGATATCTTAGGACTTGTCTTTATCTTTGTCTGGGGATCTGTTACAACTCCTTTTTCTAAAGTATCCACATACTTTTTTTTCTTGGTTTCCTCCCTCATTTTGTTGTAGCATGTCCTTCAGTAATTTCCTAAAAGAGAGTGAAGCTGCAGATACATTTTTGAGGCATTGCATGTCTGAAAATCTGATCATTCTATCTCCAAATTATATAATATGTTGGCTGGATATAGAATCCCAGGTGTAAAAATGTTGTTCTATTTTCTTCTGGTTTCCAGGGCTGCTGTTGAGACATTCAATGTCATTCAAATTCTCTATACTTTATACAGAATATTTCTTTCCTTGCTCTGGAAGCTTTTAGGAGCCTTTCTTTATAGCTTGTGTTCTGAAATTTTTAGTAATAAGTCTTTAATATTGGCTTTTTTTTGCATTCACTGCCCTGGATTATCTGTGGTTACTTTTCTATTGTTTTTTCTATTCTATGTCATTGTAGATTTTTTAATTTTTTATCCCATTATTTTATTTTGGTGACATTCTGGAGGGATCAGAGCATAAACAGATAGAATCAGCCTGCCATATGGATTCAGATATTCCAAAGATTACCTTTTAATGTAGTTTCAAAAAACTACTGTGAGTAGGTGTGTTAAGATGAAGTTCAATATGCCTATTCATTCCCCTAAATATGAGTGTTGGGGAGGGAATTCCAGGGATGGCCATGAGAAGATATCAGAACATCCTTTCTATATAACATCAATGAAACTAGACAAAATTATTAAAAATAACCATTTCAGGATCCTGGCAATTGACCAAAGCAAACAACAAGTTTAGAAGTATTTATTTTTGAAAGATGCCATAGCTTTTTGGAAAAACAGTGAAAGTATGAGGTCTTTATGAATGAAGCCAACTCCATCCCTTTCTTCATTTTGATAGGTGAGAATAGCAGTATTATCAGCACAAGGATGGCCACAAAATTCAGCAGCTCTGCTGCCATGGGCTGACTCAATATGGAGTGGGGTATGAAACACACTAATAAATTAATGTAAGTGACTAGTGAGCACAGAAATAAATCTTCACATTATTGTTGACAAAGGTACCAAGTCAATTTAGTGGGGGAAATGATAGTCTTTTCAATAAATGGTGCCACTGGAAAATTGGATAGCCACATGAAAATAAATGAACAATACCTAACACTGTATACAAAAATTAACACGAAATGGATCAAGACTTAAACATAAAAGACAAAATTATGAAACTTATAGAAGAAAACATAAGAGAAGATCTTTGTGACCGTGGGTTACTAGTAATGGCGAACCTATGACACGCATGTCAGAGGTGACAAGCGAACTCATTTTTTTGGTTGATTTTTCTTTGTTAAATGGCATTTAAATATATAAAATAAATATCAAAAATATATATCTTTGTTTTACTATGGTTGAAAATATCAAAAAATTTCTATATATGACACAGCACCAGAGTTAAGTTAGGGTTTTTCAAAATGCTGACACGCCAAGCTCAAAAGGTTCGCCATCACTGGGTTAGGCAAACATTTCTTAGATATTATACCAAAGCCATAGTTCATAAAAATTTTGATAAATCATTCTACTTCAAAATGTAAAACATTTGTGTTTCAAGACAATAATAACAACAACACACCATTTAGAAAATAAACAGACAAGTCACAGACTGGAAGAAAATATTTGTAAGTCATGTATCAATAAAGAACTTGTACCCAATTGAATAATAAGAATACAAATGACTAAATAAAAAAATAACACATAAGCTAAATACTTGAACAGACACATCTACAAAGACAATAAACAGCTAATATATGTATGAAAAAGTGCCCCAAATCACTACTCACTAAATTCCAGTGAGATACTACTACACACAGAAAAAACTAGCCATAATAAAAAATGTG